CCCCCATCTGCACTGATGGCTTCGCCTGTGTGCTAATAATGTATTTTTAAATCCCGCCCTTTTATTTTTGCGGGTTTTGATCATTTTTTTTAATTTTCCTTGTCTCCTTGAGGCGCGCTGGGTGTGGGGCCACCCCGGGGGGGTTTCGGCCCCGGCGTGTCGCGGCTGGGTGAAAAAAAAAGCTGGTTGCGTGGTCTGCAAGAGCCCGGCACAAGGTGGAAGAGCTGGAACAAAACCCCCTTAGCCTGCAAAATACTGCGCGAAACGGTGCGCCCACACAAAGCGGGACGGCGGAGAGCAAGAGACAGGCTGGCATGGGGGGCGGGGACCAGAAAAACCCGTGTCTGGCTCCACTCTCCTCCCGATCCGGAGGCTGGATGACAAGTGAGATGTCATTTTTGTGGAGAGATACTCATCTTAAGTCTTACTGCTTGTTCCAGGCCTTATTGATGTTAAACAGTACTAAAAACTTTCCTTGTTTTCTAGGTAATCGGGCCTTGTGAGTAGTCTTCTCTGTCGCTGTTGCTCAGCCCCTGGAGTAGCCATAGATACTTCAAAAGACCCTTTTTTCTCTTGTTTTTCCTCAGCGTTCCCTGTTTTCAGCGTTTTCCAGATTTGGGCCTCTCTACTCAGTGCGAGCGCACAGAAATGCTGCCGTGGCTGGGCCTGGATATTACGCCATCATCAAGTTTTATTCTGCTGGAGATGCCAGCAGAGCCCAGCGCGCGTGCAATGGGCAAAGGCTGTTTCAGAAATCTCCTTTGAAGGTAAGCAGAGCAGCCCCAGGTGTGAACCTTGCAGGACTCGGCACCGTGACCTCCAGCAGCAGGGTGGAATCACATTAAATATTTGCCGATCTGTGCAAAAAATATACTAACTTTTGGCTGGATGCTACAACCGTGGTGACATCCCCCACCGCTGGCTCCCAGGTAGTATTTAACCAGTAAAATGGCAGCATCCCTCCTCTGGAATAATTTGCAGGGCCTGTTCCTGGGTAAAAAATATTTAACGCATCTTAGAAGCACACATGTGGTCAGGGAGTAAGTTACCTTTGGATAACTCTCCCGGAGCCATCAATGGTGTGTCTGTAGTGGGAACCTTGCAAGCAAAGTTTGGCTAACCAGGGTTCTTCTTTCCTGGACAGGTTTGTGTTTGCAGCAGGCAGAAAGGGTTTCAGCGACAAGTTCTTGCTCTCAACAGCAGCAAGTGCCAGGAGTTGGCCAACCACTATCTTGGCTTTAACGGCTGGGGGGGGCGCGCCGCCCACGTAAAGGGGCGCTTTTT